TTTCGGCTTAGTGGCCTAGAAGCTAAGCAATCGCACGTGATTCCGGGCCCCCTGCGTTTGAGCCCTGTATGCTGTTTTGTGGGTGCACACTTCTTGAGAGACACATACGTAGAGAAAACCGCACATCAATGTCCCCATATTTTCAAAGGCGATGAAGCTTAGATTAAATCATGAATTTCACTCAAAGAATAATACATCTAGACAAATATTATTTTCTCACTTAGGCCATTATTTTGTTTCACACAATTATGCGAATATGATGTTTAAATGAATGAATGCAAATCGTACGACAAAACCAGTTTTCTCCACTAGGTCAATGATAACAATAACAAAAGAGATCACGAACAAGATTTGATTATTCATGTGACAGTGGTGTTAGGATGAATGAATGAATGAAAATGTTAAGACGAAAGAAGGCCATTCTATTGCGTGAATGACAACAAACACAACGAGATAACATGAATAGGATTCATCAGGAAAAATAGCAAATTTTCTGTGTACGGACATATATTAGAGAAAGACAAAACTTATGCAGATGAATGTCCCAGAAATAATGAACGTTCTTATTTTGTTATGTTCTCTGGTTGTTTTTATTCTCCACTCTCATGAATAAGTGTCATGAAATGTTCGCCACGAATTACAGATTATATAGATAAACAGTGATCATGGTTGAACGTATATAACCATTTGATTTGTGTGGAATGTTTCTTTGTTTACGAAGATAGTTTGAAATAAGTTTCACTAATCGGTAAAATGAGATTGATGTTCTAACTGAAATATAACATGATGATGCACTGATCCTTAGTTATTGAAGCTGGTCTACAAAGAACCGGAATATTGAATGTGAAGAGGCCATTGAAAATAACTTTCACTCAACCTTCTGAGCTGTATGTATTCACGGTCGTGCGGGGATTCATTGGTTTAATTCGGACATTAGCATGCTTACTCATTAGTCTGGAGAGTAAGCGTTCGCATTCAAGACCGGACACACGAGGTTTGAGCCTCACTCGCGGGATTGTGTGTGCACAGTGCCGGGGAGAACCATAAGTGGACGAATCTGCTCTACTATGACCTCAGGTTATTAATGTCGATGCAGCTTGTAGTAAATCATGAACATGACTAGTAAAATAAGACGTCTAGACAAACGGTACTGTGCTCAGTCAGATCATCAGAATTTACTTAATTATGCGACAATGATGTTTAAATGTTTGAATGAAGATCGTAAGACAGAACAAAGCCATTTCAATGGATGAATGACAAAAACAATAAGCGAATTCCAGAAATGATCTTGATCACTAAAAATCGTAAATTTCGCATGCATCGACACTTACAAGGTTAAGACAACACTTATTTATAAGAATAATTAAAAATAACCTGATGTGATTCACAAACACTTCAAGGATTAACGTAAATCAGTTGCAGAATAAATCAACTTGGTGATCAATGTGTAAAAATATATCTCACGACAAATTGCATTTGAACATAACAGAGGTTTACGTTTACGAATCTGTACTTGATAACGTTTTCAAAGCCCTAGCTATGTCAATTTTGTACGCCGTTTCAATTATATGTTTCGCTATCGATGAACATGGTTTTCCACCACCCACGTTGATCGGATCATTTGACGCTAATTAGCTCTGAAGCGATCTGGGCACATGTTCAATGACCCCTGATTGCATTGTTCGATTACTCCGCTCTATGTATGTGTGTCCACATAAGCATGTACATTGGCAAATACAATGTGATGTGAAGTAATCAATTATGGATTATCTAGGTCTATTCGGAATCATGGTCTTAGACTTTCCAATCACAACTAATTGAGCGGCATAATAGATCTACTCGATGACTGCTTTTAATTGCTGTCGCAAAACCGTACTATTGAATTTACCTGTACATGGTAGATAGTTATAAACGATTTCCTTGCAACCGAATAAACAACAGGTAATGGCGTTCATCGACTTTTGCACATATTAACAAACTTAAGTGAATAATCATTTGATATTAATGCGCTAGTCAGCAACTTTTCATCCTTTTCAACAGTATCTTCAGTGCAAATTATTTGAATCCTGATAAAGAGACACGCAATCAAGCATTACTTGTAATACAATGTGCAGAAACTGTGGAAATGTAAGTACCGCCCCATCCAAATTATTTTCCAGTAAACTGACTGTCTTATTAGTAACATCCTTTCTCAGGCTCTTAAGTATGTCTCCAAAAAACAATTATTAATCATTATTTTCTGCCTTGTATGTAGGAAGTACCTATTCTGCTACAGATGTATAATCAGAAATGTAGTCCACAATCTATATTAACGATGCGCTCGTAGAAGGAGAGTTTACATCAAAGAAATGCAAAGCCTTATCTTCGATATTAATGTCTCCAATAATATCAGTTACTAGAAATGTATCTTTTAAGGAAAATTTCATCGTTTGTTAAGAATCGAGGTTAACAATTTTACTAAGCATTCAGCTACTTTATGTGAATGAGAAGCACGCATAGATAATATCGGTCGTAATGGATTAATAGACTACCACTGTGCATTTGGGAGAACAGCGGTGAAATGTTTAGAAGTCAAAATGTCCCGGTATTCGAGAATCGTGGAAGTAGTGTGCAATAACCATTTACTTCATTTTGAACCGATTTCGCTTATCTGTAGTGATTGAGACAACAAGGAGTTACCGATCATAGAGACTTCTGAATTGATCATCTATCGATAAATCAGAAATCGTGTCATGTACGATGGAGAAATTAGATCCAAGTAGTAGGGCTTCTATCACAAATACAGAAAGTTTAAAAGATGGTCAATTTGATACGTAATTGTCACAGTAAAATTGAAATTAATTTTCGTCATTATCATTGAGAAGAGATTTGTTCGTCTTTTGTTCAGTAGTAGTAGTAGTACCGATTTCTCATTGACGCATTTCGATAAACTTTGGTCATCCTTTTGTATTGTCATCCGAGCACGTAATTACATTGTGGCTGTCTGGGTCAAATCCATTGGTATGTTTACGTTTCGGATGTCAAAAGACTCAAAATAACTCATTGTGTTCAAAAATAGCTTTTTCTCACTTTGAAGTTACCGTGATTTATTATTATTATCACTTCTTTCATTCATTTTCGTCGGTAACGCCCTCTATTTCAATACAAATTAGTCTAGTTTGACCATTATTCTTCATATATAAGTTTCTCAACAAGCGATTGCGTAGTCAGATATTTATTTGCAAAGTAATATGCTGATAGATATCCTAGAAAAAATGAACGTTCTTATTTTGTTATGTTCTCTGGTTGTTTTTATTCTCCACTCTCATGAATAAGTGTCATGAAATGTTCGCCACGAATTACAGATTATATAGATAAACAGTGATCATGGTTGAACGTATATAACCATTTGATTTGTGTGGAATGTTTCTTTGTTTACGAAGATAGTTTGAAATAAGTTTCACTAATCGGTAAAATGAGATTGATGTTCTAACTGAAATATAACGTGATGATGTACTGATACTTGTCTATTTGTTTTTAAATTCTATCTCTTTTCACAGTTGAAATTATGTGTGAAACTCCAACATCATTGTTGATTATTGGAGCTGGTCTACCGAGAACTGGAACGATGAGTATGAAAAAAGCATTGGAAACAATTTTCTCTCAACCTTGTTATCATGGTTTTGAGATTATGACCGGAAAACAATTTGACATTCCTAAATGGCAAATGCTTGTCGACGAGGTACGAACGACACATTGTGAGGAGAAAATACACAGATATTTGAGTGAGATATTGTATTGTTATGTAGCTGTGACTGATGTTCCATCATGTGCATTCTACAGAGAGCTGATGAATATACATCCATATGCGAAGGTAAGATAACGGTTATATTGTTATATGTTCTTTTTTTGATAATGGTTCAATACACACGTATTTTGATCATACAAGGTAATTATTACTGCATATCCTCATTCAAAGGTGGGTTGATTTTTGATCATACGGATGTTTATGATCTCTGGATTTCATAATTTCCAATTATTGATATTTCTGAAACTCTTATTTGTTACATGGATATATACCACAACGTTTGAGAACAAGTATCAGTCATCTGTTATTTTTTCTATACCGTAGCCACCTACTTATCCACACAGTATTTTACTTCAAAGTACAGGGAAATTCAATTACTTCGTCATTTGGCAAACGAAGATGCGTAAACTAGGTCAACTAAGATGTAGCTTGTTAATAAACTTATTAGTTAGGGGACTTTACGACTTCCTGAATTGACAAATATCATTCTCCTCACTTCTCAACAGCCTCTTTACCCACCAATGTCGGTGATCTATGTCAATGTTGAGGTATCTAGGGTCATACAGGAATGGTGTGACTTATATGACGCCAAATTTCCACCTCAGGTTGATACCTGACCTTAATTAGCCTACTGTGATATCGAGGTGCAGAGGTTACTTTGATGACTGTATAGAGCAAGCTGAATATTGCTTGAGCAATGTGTTATAGGAAAAGACATAAGAACTGAGTGGAAGATGCACAACCGCACACGTCAGTTCATTGTGTATGACCAATTAATCTGTGTCAGTCTTCATTAACTTGGACGATAATCGGTACCGAAAATATTCAGCCTCGTCAGTGATATTTCTAGGGCTCACTGACACCACATTGACGCTACTCTATTTGTAAGCTAAACATTGCGAAATTCGCGAATGTCTTAACTCTGTAAAACTGTGATAGATATTTTTACTCGTGTGCTGCGAGTTAATATTTAAGGACTTATAACACTGAAGTTCGAGAGTGAAGTTAACACGAATGGTTACTCAATAGCTAAGACAAACGTGATTTTTAAAACTGACCGAAATACTGTTTCGGTATACATCTTTGAATGACTTTTGAAATGAGTTATTTCTATAACGACAATACATTCACATACTACATATTTCGTTTAATACAGGTTGTACTAACCGTACGCGATAAGGACGATTGGTTGAACAGCTTCAGGCAAGTCATAATGCCAAAATCAGATGACCCAAGTAAAAAGCAATTTGAGGAAGCGAAAAGACTTGCAGGAGTTCCAATTGAATGGGATAAGCTTCTTACTGACTCACTAAAACTAGCATTCCAGAAGGAAGATATTGATTTTGATGATGATGCAATGTTACTTGAATGTTACGAAAAACATAACAAAACTCTTCAAGAAAATATACCACCTACACGTCTTCTGGTACATCGACTTGGAGATGGTTGGGAACCATTGTGTAGATTCTTGAATGTGGATGTACCAGCTAACATACCATACCCTAAGATGAATCAACTGTCTGACATGATAAAGCTAAGGGATTTGATAAAGAAATTTGGATCGGTTGAGGAAGTCGCTAGGATGCATCCAGGAATTATGTAAAATTGAAGAACACATAAATTATTATTATTATCAGATCAGAAATGAATTGTCATCAAGCTTTGAATTCTGACTTGTTGTTGACAGCCATGGTAGTATTGGTGAAACATATAATCAGTATAATAAACTATAACTTTTGAATTTCCTCATTATTTTTTTGTCACACATAATGATGCTCATCAAACCAGTTACTTTATAAGAGTCAAACAACTGAATGTGGTAATGATGTGATAAAGGTACGACGAGAATGAGGTTATTGAACTACGTTTGGGTGTATCGAGCAGAAAGTAGTACTTAGAGAACATCACCTATTCAAACCCAGTACTTGTTGGTAATGAAAATTGGAACTTAAAGCTGAACTGGTATGGTCTTGTACAATTGATTCTATAAATTTTGCCAAATGAACTTAGTCTCACTAGACGAAACGTTTACTGACTCATATTGTGGATTGAAGCACTTGCGTAAATCAGCTGAATATAGATAGCACTAATTACGAGTTAACTTTGCGTCTATTGGACAAAAGACTTTCACTGTTGCTGTCAACTCACTGACGGGAAATTTCAGCGTTTTCAATTCGTCGTTAAGCTCTGACTGCTACATTTCTCCTTTCATACGTAAGGTTGGTTGATTTTCCTGGCGCATGGGCTTGACAGAAACATTAAAGACATCTTTCTCCGGCATATTGTGAAATTATTTGCACTAAACAGATCACATACGATCATGAAATGAACTCATTGTTGGACGTTCCAGTAAAACTTCAAAACCTCAGTGGCAGCAGAGATGTAAGTGTGAAGTCAGATCATAGGTTGACGAAATATTTAAAAATTGAAACACAAGCGCATCATTACTCAAATCATTCACGGTGCAACTTAAGCTACTGGAATAAAATCATGAAGAATTGGTTATCTGCCCGCGGTTCAGATGTCAGGACTTAAATTTCCACTGGTTCGAATCTTGGAACCGCCAGGAAAGTCGTTGGTTGATGGGATGATGGAAGATCATTCTGATTTCATTAGCATTTTGGAATACAGAAACTAAAACTGGCTGCATGTGACATGTCTGTAAGTTGCTCTTCTGCATTCTAGTTTATAACTAATAATGATACCTACATTCCTGGGTCCACAGCTGTCACATAAATAAATCTGCACTGAGATATCCGTGGTTAATCATTAAAAATTACCTTGAAGTTCAACGTATGAAACACAATAAGTGGAAAGTCGTTATGGCCAAACAAGTTCTAATGTTTTCAGTATTCATCTTCGCTTGAAACATCCGCTCACTTTTCTCAGAATTAATTGATGTACGACTCAACATTGCTCGTATTTGTGGTCAAAAAGTTTGTTGAACTCATGGACCGATCCAATTTGGGCCACTAAACTTCTAGATCACAGAGCAGACATCGCGTCTCAACTCAATAAATCACAACGGCAGTGCTACAGGGATTTGTGCCAAGTGCGACGATACGTTGGGTATTGGTGGATAGTGCAGAGAGTTATTTATATGAACAAAGCCAAATAATAATAAAAAAGAGCAATATGAGATTAGGATTCGGTAGGCGTTTAGGATGCACTTGCTGTGGGGATATCCCACTGGAACTGTAAACGTGATATCGACGACTCAGAGTCTATGTGTGTATAGGAATAAATGTATATATATATATATATATAGGAAAATGAATGAATCATAGAATCAATTATGCAACTAATAGCGAGGCTAGCAGGATGAATATATGCGTACTTAGTAAGCAATGCTCAAGCAAACATGTTCATACATTCGCAACAATTATAAAAATACAATGCTATAGATAAGTTGTTGGTGTATGGATGACTCGGTCCGTTAAATAAACAAAATACTTAACCGACTTAAATGTGAACAAGCTCAATTATACGTGAGTTGCTATAGGATATTTGCTGTGGAGCAACCAAAGATCATTGACCTATTATAAAGAATCATCCGCAAATCTCAATTGCATGAACATCGAACAAAACAATATTTTAATTGGTAGATTGATTTGGGATTTATCTAATTTGATTATCCCTGCACTCTAAAGGAACTCTAATATTCCTACTGTCCTAAGAGTCATTGATGTACATATAAGAGATCCAGCAAAGCTGTGTGACATGCTGAGCAAAACATTTGCTCAGGCATTCAATAGATGTAATGAGAATAAACGCAGAGCAAGCAGTTTCCAGTCATGAACATTAGCAGACCTGTAGTGCACTCCGAGAGGTTCAATAAGCTCATTAAAACCTCTCGTATGTGGTTATGATGGAATACCGGCTAGTTTCATTACATTTTGGGATTTCTGACATTCATGTCCAGCCTTTAAAATATTCAACCTGTCCCTTGATTGAGGCACTTCTCTTGCCAGTAGAAACTACATACATCATCCCTCACGTTGAAAGAGTACCCAGACTGCATTTAGGCAACCATTGCCCCAATAACCATACTTCTATCTCATCTAAAACAATGGAGATTAGTAAGGAGATAACAGTCATCTACATAAGCAGCAATCAACTGTCTCCACAACACAAATGTTTTCCGAGAATTCATGTATAACTCGTCATATAGAATAATTTGATTATATTATACGCAATGGGAATGAAGGGCAGCTAGTTGTTATTCTCTACTTTGCCTTTATCAAAGCGTTTGATAAAGTACAACACGACTATTTTAATTAAAGTCTCGGTATAGCAGAGAAACTGAATAAATGGATCTCATTCATCTGAAGAAACCGAATCCGGGAATTGTAAATATGGCACCACTTCTCCGACCCTCACAACATTACTTGTGGTGTCCTCCATGGTCCAGTCATCGGAGCTCTATTGTTCATCTTGTATGTTAAAGACATAAGCAACTGCTTTAAAATTGGCAAAACGCTTCCTTTTGTTGACGACATTGACGTAGTGCATGCATCCGGCACGCGTCCCAGTTTAAACCTCAGCTGTATTATACGAAATTATCTGGATAAACACCGAAACTGATGTGATGCATGGATTCTCCCTCTTCATAACGAAAAGTCTGGATACATGTGTTTGGGAACTTTCAGTCCAAAGATAAGATCGTATCTCAACAAGTTGGAATTTCAACATCTGTTTAGCGTCTGCGATTTAGGATTGAAATATTGCAAAAATCTTTCATTATTCGAAAAGGCCACATCCGAAGTCTGCAAAGCTGGACTTATAAGAAGCTTTGTTTCGGATTCCATTAGTGGAAGAGTGGAAGAATTATTGGCAATAAACGCTCATAAAGGGTTGCTCCGATATAACAGACTTTTGTTTGGAACAAATACCACCCCTTCAATCTTCCAACAAGTTTTGAATACTGTGCTACAAGATATGCCTGGTACCGCAGCCTATCTCAATGACATAATGATCATGGGTACAAACTATACTGACTTAGAGAATAAGGTGAATACGGTTCTCAGATGCATAGCAGACAAATGGGTTTCGATTACGTGCTGGAAAATGTTTGTTCTACATAGAGCAAGTCCGCTATTTGAGATCCATAAGTGATAAAAACGGAAGAAAACGTGACCCTGGAAACGTCGAGGCTACCAATTCCATGTCAGCACCGACTGACGTATCAACTTTCCGTTCTCTCTTCGGAATGGTTAGTCATTATGGTGTTTTTCTTCGGAGCTCTGCATACTGGTCGTCAATGCAGCATGATATAGAACAAGAATGTCGCAGTTGTCACTCTCGTCTGGAGGATGAAAAGAATCCAACAAAAGCTGATCCACAAACATAGTCAAAATCGGATGAGTCTTGGCAAACAATATGCGCTGATTTCGCCGGACCAATACAAGGCTGAAATTACTTGATTGTTGTCGATGCTTTCACAACATGGATAGAAGTATATGACATGCGTAAAACGACATCAGAGATTACGACAAAAAAATTGTCAGGATTGTTTGATAGTTTTCGGTTCTAGAGATCTTGGTGACTGACAACAGCACTCAGTTTATGTCATCTGCTTGTACCGGGCTGTGCAGTGAAAATGGCATATTGCCTCCACAATCTCCTTCGTGCTATTCTCAGTCGAATGTCTATGCAGAAAGATTCGCTTACTTACTTAATTAATTACGACTGTTACTCCTTGTGAAGAAGCATAAGCCGCTCACCTGCATTCGCCATCCAGCACTGTCCTGAGACATCCTTTCCAGCTCTTTCCAGTTGTTATTCATCCTTTTCATATCTGATTCTATTTTTCAATGTAATGTGCTCTTTGAACTTCCTTTTTTTCGTTTCCCTTCAGGAGTTCAAGTTAAGGCTTACCTCTTGATGCACTTTGATGATTTGCGTAATGTTTGTCCTATCCATTTTCATCGTCTTTCCCTAATTTCCTCTTCAGCTGTAAGCTGGTTTTTTCTCTCCCACAGAAGGCTATTGCTGATGATGTCCGGCCAATGGATGTTGAGTATTTTGCGTAGAAAAAGATTTACAAATACTTGTACATTCTTGATGATGGTTGTTGTAGTTCTCCGAGTTTCAGCTCTGTACAGTATAACTGCCTTGACGTTCGTATTGAAGATTCTCACTTTGTTTTGGTTGAAAGTTGTTTTGTTCTTTAACTGTAGAAATGCTGTCCTTGCTTTGCCAATCCTCGCTTTTGCGTCTGCATCTTAACCTCCTCGTTCATCGATGATGCTTCTCAGGTATGTGAAGGATTTTTCATCTTCCAGAGTTTCGCCATCAAGTGCGATTGAATTGCTGTTCTCCGTGTTGTATTTGAGGACATTGGTTTTCCCCTTGTGTCTGTTGGGGTCTACTAATGCAGAGACTGCTGCTAAACTGCCTATCTTTATCTGCATTTGTTTGTGTGTATGAGATAGGAGGGCTACGTCATCTGCGAAGTGCAAATAGTCTAATTTGTTCTGAGCAGTCGATTGTATGCCGTGTTTTCCCTCAGATGTCTAGGTCTTCATAATCCAGTCGACCACCAGAAGAAAGAGGAAGGGAGAGGGTAGACGGCCTTGTCTGACTCCGGTCCTTACTTGGAAT